GCCATGTTCTCAGGGAGATTTGACATGAAACCTGCTGAAGACGGTGCTTTCTTTATCGACCGAGATGGAACTCACTTTCGATTCATACTCAATTATCTCCGGACTGGGAAGGGAGAAAAAGCCTTCAAAGAACTACAGATGAGGCTGAATATTATCAGATCAAAGGAATACTTGATGAATTAGAGTTCAACTCCGAAATTATAACAAACGACAACCACCGAAGCTTGTTGTTAAGGTGGCTGCCCCCTCAAGATACACAGGAGAGGCGAAGGCGCCTTCGTCTGCTGTTCCGCGCTTCTCAAGATGGCTTTATGGCAAAAACATTTCACTCCAAGTGCGACAATAAAGGGCCCACGGTCACTATTGTTCAGAGTGGAAAATATATTTTTGGTGGATTCACTGAAGAGTCGTGGGACAGTAAGTACTCGAGTGTTATAAGAATTGTGCAAACAGAGTTTAGTTATGAAGGCGAACGAAACTAGTAGAGCAGTCCAAATTTTCAATATGCTCATTGCCAAAACATTTTCTCAGAAAAAAACAGACTACGCCTAAAGATTGACAATCGTAAGATAGCAATTGGAAAATACGTCAATAAACCATCGCAGGTGTCTTGATAGGATCACAACCGAGAGCTTTTCGCAGAAAGGTCTTCATAGTATTACGAAACACACCGCTGATATTTGATAAAATAAGGATAAATGTTATGAAAAATAACACTTTCATAAATAAGCATGCCATTTCTACTACTCATAATAAAACTTATTTATTTTCTTCTTTTCACTTTTCATAATCTCCATACAGTCACGCACCGAAAAAAAGTAAAACTACATTTTAGCGCTCGAGTTAAGAATTGAATTTTGTTTACTTGCAACTCGGGATGACAGGTACCCAGTACTTGAATTCTTTTTATTTTTCTGGGAATTACGCATTCTTTGCATACATTTTTATCGTGGGTAGAAAAACCAGATTCTGTTACGGTGAATTTGAACGGGTATCTCAAGAACTAAATCCCGAAAATGATCATGGCTCTTTTTCTGGTAACATTAAAGCTGCTTGAGAAAGTTTTTAAATGAGCCACAAGTGCCCCGACGAGAAAGCGAGTTTTTGTCCCTTTTACTTGCTAAAACGATATTTCAATGATTGTGTATTCCAAGAAATTAAATTTGCTTGCTTTCAAAGCTAAAAGTTCTAGTATTTCATTGGCTGGTATTTCATTAAAGCGATGACGTAGTGTGCCCTAATTTCTTATTGAGGAAGTACTTCATATACATGTATCACAGACAACGTACGCTTTACATTAACTTATTACTTATCCAGAATTGCCAGACTCTTACGAAATTTCGCTTGAAAACATTTTTTGAGCGTCGAAGAGTAACCGTTTGATTTTCTTCATTCTGAATACGTCTTGCCCGGTGGCTGTTGAAGCAACACGCGGTTCCACGAAAAGACATCGTATACTTAGTTTTGACTCGGTAGCGGTAGCACTTCGTATATGAATTCGTTTCATTCGATGGAATCGTATGCTCAGTTTACCGGTGTTACGTTATTTTCTTCTTAAGAAAATGACGGCTAAAATTACTGAGATATACTGTTTTAAATATACTAAATCTCGTTTTCTTTTTTCGGTTTCCTCAAGTGCAATACGGATACAATATCTGTTTGTTTCCTGAAGGACAGCTGCTAAGATGACGTGACTAAGGTGGATCTTGCGCTGACATTTCTGTCAACATTTTGCCTCTTTGTTTGTTATTTCTTCTCTGAACTTATATAGAAATGAAGAAGAAGTCCCCCACTCGATTAGCACTGAACATAAGCTAACATCCTTGCCTTGAATATACACAGTCAACCTAATCGTGGAATTTGAAGTTGTCTTTCTTTCTTTTTTCCTCTAATTTTTAAGGTAAAATGCTTTTATTTGCACTCTTCAGCACTTCAGACTTAAGTCTCTTCAACTTTTCTGTCTGCTTTACGGTCACTCAGCATAAGTGGTGTTTTTGAGCAAAGCAGATCTGTTAGCTCGGTGCAACAGACCATTGAGTATGACCGCTATAGTGCGAGCAAAAGAGTAATGCAAAATCAAAGCTTCTTATCTCCACTTCAGTGTTTCGTGCTTTGTTCCAGTGGGTTAAAATGCGACTTCACCGACTTTCCTATCCAGATACCTAATTCTCTGAAAAAAATTGAAGGCAAGAAAGCACAAATTCAACTTTATTTACAAGTAGGCCTATAAATTCTTCAAAGCCATCACCTGGTTAACTTGAAACCACCACGAATGACAGCGCAGTACATTTCTTTCAAATTTAATTTCACCATTTATTTTTTCTGCGGTAGCTAGAGAAAAATTTTCCTAACTTAACTGAGGCAATTTCGCTTTTTTGATAAGCGCGTGTAACTTCGTTCGTATACAGATTTGAAGATTCGTAACCTAAAATACCACGATTGGGATGCTGTGCATAGAGTCGCGAAGACCGCACAAGGATAACTTCAACTTTTACAAAAAAATTACTGAGGGCTGATAGTCTCCCTGCAGATCACCGAGTAACATAAGTGCGAACAGGATTATCTACCTGTGCGTTAACCAATGAAACTTTCATTTCGTTTTCAGGTCAAGGAGGTTACATAAGCTGCAAGGAAGCATTTTTGTTCAGCATGGTCAATCCGCGTGGCCTGAAACCAGCCAAAATGCCACTTAGTCAAGATGGTCAAAAGTACGCCATCTGCTGTAGAAGTGACTATGGACCAACGTTTGGGGGAGGTAGGGACGGGCACGACCTGTACATCTCAGGCAATGCAAACATTTCGGCTTCAAATACAGTTTGTCTCGGCGACGCTTATGATATTTGCAATGCTTATAAAGGTTTAAATGGTACTATTCTCAGAGGTGATTACTTCTTTACGGGGAAATCGCTTTTCAATGTGACAAATTACGAAGTGCTTCAACCAGCATGTAACTTGTAAGTAGTAAGTAAAGCCTTTATACAGGCCCAAGTGGCCAATGAAGCGGCTAGGAGTATTGCTATTCCCCTTGGATGGGATGCTAGGCCAGGGCTCGAACCCGGACCACCCGATCCGGAGTCGAGCGCACTAACCATGAGGCCAGCGCGCCTCCACAACTTCAGAGACAGTTGCTAAATGATGAATGAAAGTCGGTATCAAAGAAAAAACAAGGTAACTTCCTGAAACTGACTGTGATTAACAAACGAATAAGAAACACATTGGAAATTTTGAATATAAAAAGAAAAGGGAACAATGAATAAAATATCTTGTAAACTGAGAGATTTTGTCTATCTTTCCTTGAAAATCGAAACAATAGCTGTCACAAGCGTAATACTTATTTACATAAAGTTCACCATATTATGATCAGGCAGATGTTAAAGGCCCGTTTTGACTTGTAAATTGGTGAGTAATTAAATCTCATTAAAGGCAAAGTGCGTGTGTTTAATGGGTCTTTGATATTTTGTTTCTTAGAAAAAAAAATCTTGATTGGCGGTGACAACACAGATGAAACACAGGTGATAGTTGTCATGACCCTGTTGCCCCCTTAACTGACAAACAAAAGTTAGCTCTTCTCTGCTCTTCCGCAACGCTTCGTTTTACCAAATGAATGCCTGGAGTAGGCTGGTTTATGGTGCAGTATTTATAAAGATATCTTTTAGCGTCTTTCAAGAGGCGTAAGAAACCTCGTCCTACGGATAGATAAATGAATGGGAAGAACAAGCAACAGATAATCTTTTTGAAGAAAGGAAACCTGTTCATGAGGTGTGAGTGCGTGGTTCATTTTTTCACTGATTTAGCAAGTACCGAAGACGAAGATTAGAGAGAGTCTACATGAAAGGGGTGGAGCTGTCAGCCGTCAAACGACCTAAAAATTTAAATGTCTATAGTCAAAAATGGTGAATTTAGCCGTCAACCGTAAAAAAGTAGCATTAAATTAGTGGTTTTAAGTTGTGGCAAGATTTCTTCACAGCCCTATCCATCATTATGCATGCAGTTCTTTGTTAAAAGAAAACGATAACGCAAATAATTAAAACTATAACAAAATTCTCGAACGTAACTGGTCATCACCAGCTCGATTTGAGTACTAACCCCTGCAGAGAAACTGTAGAAGAATTTGTGTCACGGTTTTCACAGCAGTGAAAGTACAATCAAAGGTCAGTAGGACAATATTTATCATTTTGAGTACAACTTTAAAGATCCTGATCTCAGCATGCAAAACTATCTTTTCAGTATTTCAAATCGAAGCAAACACAAACAGGGTTGGATAATTATGAAGGCAACATAAGGAAATGTACATGGTACAACTTGTTTATCGATGGAAATGCTTCGGAGATGAAGGAAAGCAATACATAAATATCTCATAAAGAACGGGCACAACCGCCAGTGCAGTAAGACACAAATAACTAAGATCTGCATTAACATATACCTTTGTTTCTCTCAAAGGTTTGGCGGTTTTAATCCAGTGTAAGACTATCCAAGATCCGCTGGAATAATGTTTCGGATATTGTTTACCGCACAAGATGGCACAGCGACCCTGAAGTGTTTGTCGAGATGACCCCAACACCAACGAACAAGCTATCTGTAGGCAATTTAGCGAAATTTCCTTCCAGGAAAGAAGCGAAAAACAACTAGCTGTAGTACTGTATTATTAAATCAATGGCAGAATTAACTCAAGCAAATCGATCTCAAAATGTAACAAAACAGATGAAACAGAAAAAATTTAGCTTACTCGTTTCCGGTGCGATTATCTGTGCCTTACTGTTGCCTGTAGGCGTAATAGGCCGTCTCCAGCACCCAGAAATCGAGGCAAATTGGTTGAAAACCTGGATGCTCAGTGATACAACTGATCTGGGTTTCAGGCCCTTGCTCCTCTACTTTTTGCCACAATTACCCGATTTCCGTACAAAGGAAACGCCCGAGTTGAAATTCCGGCTTCGTTTTTTTTTCGTTCGGTCGCAAATCGCAGTCAAGTCCTCATCACGCATGCGTAACCTTTTGGCTCTGACGCATGCGTGACGTTTGACTAATGAGCACATGGCATGGTGTAATGGCGGACGAAGAGAAGCTTTCGCGGTGCAAAATCAGCACAGACACTGTGTATAATACGTTCAAAACGCACACAAGATATGCACAGATCGTTCGCGGTAGAACCACACTAAAAGATGTCGAGCGTTTTCGGAACGGGTCGGTCCGTGAACCTTATGAGAGATCTCTTTATGAGCAAACATTTATGAGTGAACCTTTCATCGAGAAACATGCTATATCAACTGAGCTATCTAATGTTAATCGAGAGAAGCATAGACAGAAATCTCATCATGCACGTAGACGTGATCGTGAACCAAGCAGAATACCAATTCGAAGTTTGAAAAGTTAAGGAAGAACAGCAGAAAGGTTAGGGAATTTGTCCATGCACGTATTCTCTCATGTATCCCCATGTCATCTACATTGTAGTGTTATGATAATGCTAAAAAAGCTATTAAATGAAAGGACGTTTAAGTTTAGCTGTCGTGAAACAAACAGAAAGCCCGGGTGAACGCAAATATGCGTATAGTTTTATATAAAACACCCTCAGAAGCTCAGGTTTTAAAAAATTTCTGTTGCATTCTTTTAGATTGTACCCTTGCTTTATTGGATTTTCATGTCAAATACAAATAAATCTCACAGTAAATTAAATACCAGTTTGAGTTTCCGAGGAGGTCGCATCGCTGTCAACATGTTCTGTACTGTCTTCGTGCGGTTCGCCTCGGTGAACCCTACGCGGCTCATATTGTTAAGGACGTGGCCCAGACTCTCCTGAAGATTCTGGATTATCCCCATCGCTGTCATGTACTAAGCTTAAGGCATTTGAGTCGCTATCTTCTGAAAAAACATCTTCCGAACTACCGCTACTTATACGAGCTCCTATACTAGTTCTATTGGGGAATATGTGTTGCGCAATATCTTAGTTCCACGGCTTACGTCACGACTTCTCGTTATTGTTTTTACCGAAAATGGAATTTCAGTTGAAAATGCCGATTTTCTCCTAAAATAAGTCGAATTGGACAAAACGAATTTCAAATTCGTTTTCTAGGCCACTTTTTACATTGTACAAGAAAAACATATATATTTGGGTTTACCTGCCCTTTAACACCGAGTCACACAACGCTTGACGCTTTCAAAAATTTCTGGGGACTTGAGCTTGGGCCGCCTGGAGCTGCATATGTACAACTGTTGTCTAGAGACCGTGAAAAAAGGAGTTGAACGGTGAGATTTGTTCTGACATATTGACTTTTGCGACGTGTTGTTAAATCACATGTATTTATCTATTTTTGAAACTAAGAGCTCACAGTATGAGCTGTAATACCTATGGTGATATTTTTTGTAATTACGCATTTCCATGATGGTTTTTTTTTTCAAAGGAAGAGCGAAGTTAGCTTTTGTGTTTACATCGTATAATATGTTATTTTATCGTGCCCGATGATACTTCATCGTAGCTTATAAACGGTACCGGTTGTTCCCAAATCCTACTTGCTAGCGGGACAACTGAGGAGTACCGTGATCGAGCTTCTGCGTTTTGTTTTGTTGACAATTGTCGGACAGGTCATTAATATAGAATAGACTAGTTTGTTTACCATCGGAGTTTACAAGCAGTTGTTATTCAACTATCTCACAAGGTTTTCTTCAGATTCTTTCTGAAGCTTATCGTTTTCAGCCGATTCATATCATTTACCTCGAATCATGGTATTATTTTCAAACAAGCAACATGTAGAGACGTGTCGAATCAAGTATTCACCTTCAGGTGAATGTGCAAAGAATTAATAAAGTTTAAATGGACACAAGCTCGATTCTAGATGTTGTAATGGTAATGTTTCTTTAAAATTGTCCTATAGGAAAATTTCTGAGGAGTCCAGTGAAACGAAAACCTTTTGGATGATTCCGCAATCATATGAGTGATACACATGACTAGTTCCACAGCATAATATTATTTAAATTCGAGAAACTTGCTTACTTCAGCATGTCGTCGCATCCGAACAGAACAACAGCAATGACACAGCCAAGCATTTCACTGAGTTGGAGAATCGCGTAAAATAGCCCATCAAAATTTAGTAAATTCAATCGATATGTGATTAACGTTAAGCAGCAACATGCAATGCCCAATGCAGGCTTCCTCGATTATCAAACTCAACGTCGGCGGTCATTACTTCACCACACGTCTTCAAACACTGACCAAAGATCCAAACTCAATGCTAGCCGGCATGTTTTCAGAGAGATTTGAAGAGAAATTGGGCGAAGACGGCGCTTTCTTCATCGACCGAGATGGATCTCACTTCCGATTTATACTCAATTACTTGCGCACAGAGGAATTAACTTTACCCGTGGGGGCAAATTTTCTTCAAGAACTTAAGAAAGAAGCTGAATTTTACCGGATCCAAGGATTGATAGATGAAATAAATAAGTCAGTGAGGAGCGTCGTTAAACTTAATGTCGGTGGTCACTACTTCACAACAAGTCTTCAAACACTAACCAAAGATCCAAATTCGATGCTGGGCACAATGTTTTCTGGGAAACACGACACGAGAGCCGGGGAAGATAGCGCTGTTTTTATTGACCGAGATGGAACTCACTTCCGGTTTATACTGAATTTTCTGCGCACTGGGAAACTAACTTTGCCGGCAGGAGCAACAGCTCTCGCTGAATTCAAAGAAGAGGCTGATTTTTACCAGATTCTGGGGATATTAGATGAGCTAGATGATACAAAGCTGAAGTCGGAGATCCTGACAGACGAAGGACAACAAAACCTGTTGTTAAGCTGGTTGCCTCCTCACGGTGACGTGAGAAGACGTCGCCTCCGTCTTTTGTTCCGTGCTTCTCGAGACGGCTTCGCGGCAAATACCTTTCACGACAAATGTGATAACAAAGGACCCACAATCGTTCTTGTGCAGAGTGGCAATTATGTTTTTGGAGGATTCACGGAGAAATCTTGGATGTGCGGTAAGTCATGTGTTGAATGTTCAAGGTTACACAAGATTAACTCACACAGCAAATAATCAAGCCAAATTTTTGATCTAGATTTTTCAGTATTCACTCCATGAAACTGATAGATAAAAATTCAAATCGCTGCTAACTAGTGAAACTGTAGAACGACATGCATCAATCCAGAAATTTTATAATTTCATATTCAGACGGGTTCACAAATAATATCGAATGGACCATGAATGTGATCGATTATGCAATCAGAACCATGTGGTCACCAATATTTGTCACGCAATATACGGCTTCGTCGAACTGCGTTAGCCTTTAGTTTCAGTTTCAAGCAATTATCAAGAGTGACTTTTGACCAAAAGATAGTCTACGACAGGAATATCAAAGTACCCAGTGGCTGCGTACAATAATTGAGTAGAAATCCGCCAGGCTTAAATACAATAGGCCATTTTTTGTTCCCCTTGCACTGATTCATCTCTTTAGTTGACTGTAATTTCTTACTCTCGTTTCCAAAATGTAATCGAAGACACGGTGCTCTATTCGGCATTTTACAGGTCACCATTTTATCAACAGGTGAGGGAGGTTATACCATCTGCACACAAGCGTTCCTGTTCAGTTTGGCCAACCCAAGTGGTCTGGAACCAACCAAACTACCACTTAAGAGTAACAGCCATCAGTATGCTATTCTCTCCAATGGCGGCAATGGGCCAACATTTGGCAACGGCGACCTCCGCATTGCAGATAATGCAAACACGTCTCCTTCGAGCTCTAGTTTTCTCGGCTATGTATACGAGATTCCATTAGCATGGAATAACAGGAATAACACATTGTCCTTAGCAGGAGGAGAATACTTCGTGGTAACGAACTACGAAGTGTTTGGATTCCAACCCTGACTCAAAATGGATCATAAGCAGGCAATATCCGGGACCTTGTGTAGATCAAGGGCTAAAGAATCCAATTTGTTTTCTTGGCGAAAATTGTCAGAGAATAATTTGCTTAGAACGGCTTTTTCTTTTTTAAAGGAGAAGTGCTTCAATGTCTCTGGTCCGAGACGTGAAGTCACTGAGAAAAACTGCTTATTCGTACTGAATCCTGTTTAGAACAGATTGGCGAAAAATTATAGCCACGCTTACGACAGAATGATGAAAAAACCAACTTTGTCCCAACTCTGTATTCTAGCAGTTGCCTCTACACCCTCTACGAGGATGTAACCACCGGCAGGTTTTTTTTAAATCACAAGGCCGAATTCTTATCTCCAACCTATTTATCAGGTCAGGCCGGGGATTGCGAGTAATCACGTATCGGTCTTTTTGTACGTAGTAAGAGATTAGGATTTTAGTATGTATACACAATTCAACAACCAGAGGCACCTTTTAACATGTGGTGTTAAACTTTTAACATTTTTTTGAAAACGTGTACTGGTATATTGCGAGAAAGAAATTCGCGGATATCAATAGCCTACTACCCTCTCCTCCCTGGTCAGGCCTGATTAACAGACCCATGTTTCTACCTTGGAGCGTATTATTTGCATAAATCTCCCTACCTGATTTAATACATTTAGGAAATCAATCTTCTGAATGCAAGAATTGACTGGGGATGATAAAACAAAAATAAATAGATGAATAAATATTCTTGATATCTCCCAAAAAGTTTTCAAACAAATGTATGGCAGCTAGTTGAGAGAATTCAAGAATAACCACAAGTTGGGAGTCAAAAGTTTATTGTGTGCTATTTCTTGATAATCCGTGTAAGTGAACTTTAAGCGAAATTTTTAGAGACTTAGGAACCAGTTCGCTCAATATCATCTCTGCTCAGTTTAACTTATTATTTGCATTGATTTTTGTAACTAATTTGCCAGTCAGCACATTGATAAATAAAGACATCGTTACATGAGACACCATTCTCATTTATTTATGAGTCCTAAAGACAAATCATTTGTCACTCAAAACGTACTTAGTCATTTCATCTTCTTCTCGACTGTGCACTGTTAGTCCGCTCCAGCTGATGAAGTTTTAGAGTATCATTATCTTTTAACATATATTTTGAGGTATTTTCTGAATTTTATCATAGTTTAGCGGAAGACACATTTACTGGAGCAGTTTTTTCTTACAAAATTGTTATATTTGTTGCGACAGTACTTGGTTTAGTAAATAAGAAGCGGTGATAGCTAGAGAGAAGTACCTATGTAGGAAGAAACTGGAGACACGGTCGACCATTATATCGTAGTTTTGTCTTCAGTATACTATCATAAGACATGGACACTAAAACTGCGCAAAGCGCATACTAGAGTGCCCCAAATAATTTAAATGGCTAACGAGAACTAACTACTGCAAACCGCAAACTTACTCATGTTACAAAGAACTAAACTTTGGAGGAGAGAATGAATGCCTCAATTACGGTCGTGTGGTCACTTTTCAAATCATGTGCACTTAAATTAAGTCGAATTGAAGCTCATTGACCCGCATTGTCTTCTAACAACAGCAAAACAAAGATACAGATAGCTGGAAATCGTTATACGCCCGGAAGTTTGCAAATTGCTGAGCTGGAGTTGAATTTGAAATGAAAAGCAAGACTATTGTTTAATGGCAACAATGGGAATTATCCAGACTGTGTAATGTCGAAAGACTTAATTGCTCTCCACTCAAAGAGTCGGACCGTTTATTCGCACAATACAGGTTCGGCTTCCTTATCACATCTGACGCGTAAGCCACGCACGGCCGCACAGGAAAAAACGGGACGAGCGGAAAACGAGTGCGAAGGGGAATAATGAGAGGGAACGAAAACCTCCCGCCACGCCCCTCACGTTTCCTTCATTACTTCTTTCCCCCATCCGATCTTCTTTTTCCTTTTTTCGCTCGTCTCCCTTAACGGACGCCCGCGCACTACTTTTTTTGGCCCTCAAGGCTCCCAACCATACTAATATGTCCATACCAAAAATATAAGCTTTTGGCTGAACCAAGTCGAAGGAGATTATGTTTTCCCAGTCTAGCGTTTTTATTTTGTTTTAACCAGTCCACACTAAGGCACTCACTCGTGAAAACACCGTTATGCAATGTAACATGGTTTTCGCTTATTGTTTTCAAAGAGACGCCCGTAAACGATGGCGGGTGCGACATTATCTGATTATTTGACGTCCTATTCGTGTCCGTTTTCAAGATGCTTCGTTTTAACTTGCTTTCTCTTGACTCAGAGAGTTTCCTAAACATGAGACTGTTTAAACACCCTATTTAAATAATCTCCGTTCCCATCGGCGTTTTTAGACGTTTTAGAGTGGATGGTAAACGAGAACGTTAGTGTGGATTGGGCCTAATTCATAATGCAATCTCGTTTCACTTCGTCCTGCAAAATTTCCGCTTTGCCGATTATTAGAGACCTAACGATCCGCCAACGTCAACGGCAACGGCAACGTGAGAAGTCTGGGTCGAGCGGGGGCTACGTCGTGTTGGCGTTCCCGCCAAAATTTTACGAGCGAGAACGTTGACGACGGCCATCGATGTTTATCGTGTTTAAGTCAACGAAAGTCTTTTAAAAACCATGCCAAAGTTCCGTGACACCATTTTCCTGGCCCAGGCTTCTCGCTTGATTAACGCTGAAGAATTTGCAATCAACTCTACGAATTACTCTAGCCTAAAAATCCGGAGTTACCCTGCACCAATTACGAGTGCTTCGACCTCGACAAGATGACAGATGATGAATGTAAAACCGAGTTTAGATTTTACATGAATGTCTTTAGCAATTTGGCAGATATGCTAACTTTACCGGATCGAATCGTTTGCTACAATGGTGTAAATGTCGACATGGTTGAGGCATCATGTATTTTTCTTAAAATATTTGCCTATCCCTGTAGATTCGTAGACATGATATCCAGATTTGGAAGGCCAGAGCCACAATTGTGTATGATCTCAAATGCTGTTATGAACGAGTTGTATCAAACACGGAACTGCCTTCTTACTGATTTGAACCAGGATTAGTCAAGCCCCGATTATTAAGCGGAGTTTGCTGTTGCAGTTCACAACTAGGGAGCTGCTCTTGACAACTGTTGGGGTTTTGTTGACGGTACTGCAAGGCCCATTTGCCGACTTACATCTGCAAGGACCTTTTCGAGGAGCTGGACTAACTTCCATACAGTCTGCATGGAATGAATCTATGAGTGGAGAGAGTTTCTGTTGAATGGAATTTTGGTGATATAATAAATTATTTTAAATCTCTGGACTTTAAAAAAAAAACTTAGTTTTAAAAATAAGTTCAAGTGCTGTTGGCAAAATGTATGTGACATGTGCCCTTCTTCACAATGCTCGTGTTTGTTGTTGTGGATTCACCACATCAGACTACTACTCAGATGTTTCTCCTCCAGAAATTGGAGATTATTTTCACTAAGTCTGCCAAACAGGTTGTACAAAAGCTAAATAGCACTTTTCCTTTACAAAACTGAACTGCTTTTTAGTAAGAAATTATACAATTGAGAAAGGCTAACATATTGGAATTAAAGTGAAATAAATGCCACCAAAACAGACCATGGGAACAAAGGGTGAGGATGTTTACAGAGAGTGATGCAATTTCATAGTTGAATAAGTCCTATTGCCTTGATAAAGGCTCAATCCCAGTTCCTCCAGCGCTAACCACCTTAAAATCTACAGGCTTTAAGTGCTGGCATAATATCAATTTTTTGACTTTCAAAGGTTAACAATATTAAGCAACATTTCCTTTACAGTTATATATGTAAACCAATAATTATTATTATAAATCTTTAATTTTTAACATCCTTAAAAATGTTCTCAGGCTAATAAAAAAGGTAACCTTTTTGTGCATGTAAATGACCTCTTGCATATATTTATCAGCATCACTTATCAGCAAACTTTTTCATTAGCTCCCTTAGTGCAAGGGTTTGTTGTTGGTGCTGTTGCATCATGTTTGCATTCATTTGCATTAAATGCTGCATTTGCTGTTGAATATCTCTAGTTTGCTTGTTCATCAGATCAAACTTCTGTTGTCTTCCTTCCTGCTCCTTTGCTTGCAGTGCTAACTCTTGCCTTTTTATCTCAAATTCATCATATTTTTAAGTGGCTTCAACTTCTGCCTTATCCTTCAGGTAAGCCAGAGTGTTTGCACCACTAGCTCTACTCTTTTTATGGTCTTGCTCCATGATGTTCATCTGCATTCTTTTTTGCACAATCTTTAAAAGTTTCTAATGATCTCTTCTGCATTTCCTCTTCTTTCTTTACTTCTTCTTCCTGTTTCTGTTTTGTTTTATCTATTGCTTTGTCAGACTCATGAAACAGTTCCATGATTTCATCAAGTAGCTGATCTAGTTCCTTGTCCTCTTCAGGGGCAATAGCTGAGGCTCTGTCTTCTTCCCTGACTTTTTTCCTTCTTGGGCCTAATTCCCTTTTCCATTGTAGACTAGTGGTCACGAACAGACTGATGAGTAACACAGAACTGTGGACAAGGAATAGCATTTAAGGACATTACCAGCTTTTCCCAATCATCTCTTCTTGCTAGTTTCTTTCTTATGCAGCCATGGCTGCAAAAGCATCATTCCCTCAACATCAGCAATTCGTGTTCTTCAGTCCATTTCATTGATTGACTGAAAGTGCAGTGCAACAAAAATTACTTCATGAGGAAGAACTATTAGTATATCAGCAAAATTTGTAATCAATAAAATTATCATTGTACAAATGTGCAATTTGAACTCTAAGATTTACTAAAACTTGCTTCTAATCATGATTAAAAACTTTTGAACAAAAAAATATAACTTGCTTTGGCTGATATTTACTAGATCATTTCTTATTACAGTCTTCCAATAAATTAGCTGACCTTGTTGACAGATAAAGAAATGATGGCCTCCCCTTTGCCTTCCGAATGAGGGAAACATATAATTAAGGTTGGAAGGATGCTTTCAAATGAAAACAGACAGGAATTACTTACACATATGTAGCATTTGCAAGTTAAAAAAAGGGAAATAAATAAATCTTGGATTTTGTAAAATAATTTTTGCTTAATTAGTAAACAGTGGAATGTCAACTTCCCTGTTTTGTATTTGTTTTTGATTCAGTTATGAATATAGTAATATTTGAGGTAGCCAGGAATTCCTCGATAGAACTGCTAAACCTAGCCATTGAGTTACTTGCTAAATAAGCTTATTCTATGCTTATAAATGACAATTTGCTGAATGAAAAGAAATACACTTTGAATCGGTCGAATCTAGTACCGTTGCTAACAAAATCCTTCTACTATTTTCTAGTAAAACTAAAATAAAAATTAAGCTTAATTTTCTCTTTTTTGACTATGAAAAAAATTGAAAAAAAAAAGCTTATAAGATAGCTCAGCGAGAGCAAGTGAAGTGCAACCACAAACAAAAACAAAGCATAATATTTCAAATCTCTCTCCATTCAGTTTGTGGTCGTTTACAAAACACTCCGCGCTCTGTTAGTTTACATTTCATACAATATCTAATAAAAAAAACTAATTTTCTTTAAATTTTGTCGCAAAGTTTCGTTTTTACCTTAATTCCTTTGCCATGGTTTGGCCTGTTTAGGTAGAGAAGTCCCACGTTTTCATAGAACATAACAAGGCTTGTTAATGTCCGCGCATGAAGGGAAACCGCTGTCTCAGAAATCTACTCATGCGCAGTACGCAACCGGAAGTAAAAAAGTCTCACGTCGCCGTCGCTGTTGTCAGGTCCCCATTCAAATCGTTATTAGGATAATATATTAAGTCTGCTCGACAATATCACGCTCATTGTGGTTCAAAGCGTCAGGTAGGGAAGCTAAACATGCAATCCGTAAAGCTCAATGTCGGCGGTCATTACTTCACAACAAGTCTTCAAACACTGACCAAAGATCCAAACTCCATGTTGGCTGCCATGTTCTTAGAGACATTTGAAATGAAACCTTCTGAAGACGGTGCTTTCTTTATCGACCGAGATGGAACTCACTTTCGGTTTATACTCAATTATCTTCGCACTGGGAAATTAACTTCACCAGAAGGAGAAGCAGCTCTTAAGGAACTGCAGGAAGAAGCTGAGTTTTATCAGATCGAAGGCCTCATAGAGAAATTAAAAGTAAATTCGGAGAGTTTAACAAGCGTGAAACTGAATGTAGGCGGCCACCACTTCACAACAAGTCTTCAAACACTAACTAGAGACCCAAACTCGATGCTGGCTGCCATGTTCTCAGGGAAGTTTCCAATGGAACCTCATGGAGACGGCGCTTTCTTCATCGACCGAGATGGAACTCACTTCCGGTTTATACTTAATTATCTTCGCACTGGGAAGCTAACTTTTCCAGAAGGAGCCACAGCTCTCGCGGAATTTAAAGAGGAGGCTGATTTTTACCAAATTCAGGGGATTTTAGACGAGTTAGATGACACAAGGCTGAAGTCGGAGATTTTGACAGACGAAGAACACCGAAGCATTCTGGTCAGCTGGTTGCCTCCTAAGGGAGAGATAGGCAGAAGACGTCGCTATCGTCTTCTGTTCCGAGCTTCTCGAGATGGTTTCTCAGCTGCGACTTTTCACTCCAAATGTGACGACAAAGGACCAACAATAACCATTGTGCAGAGTGGAGACAACAAATTTGGTGGCTTTACAGATAGCTCTTGGGGGAGTAAGTTGTGTACATAAAGCAAATGTAGTTAATTTTGATTCCCTAAACTGATTTTCACGCAAAAACTTAGCATTGAAGGAAATAAACGTGGCAAAATAAATTATCCAAAAAGTGAAAGAATAATGCTTGGTCTCTTGGCAGAAATTTACCGAAGTTCACAGAGAAGAGAAAATGACTAGGAAGAATTTCATTTGGAGGCCTCCATCTTATTGTGGATCTAACAAAGAAGACCCGATGAAAGTAGCTCATTATGCGTCGTCTAGTGATTAGCCATTAGATTCTGAATTTAGGTTTTAGTTTAATGATCAATAAGACTGTAGCAGTATTTCTTAGGTTTCCAAGTTTTCAAAATTTTCACCACCGGTACCAACTTGCACATTTGAAACTTTCTATCCTTGTTCAATTATTCTCGCCTGATAAAGACAATAAATTCAATTAGCACTTACAACATAAGTGAATAGTGCTGCTAGCGCGAGCTGATTGGTTGGTGCGGAAGTAAACAGCAAGTACAATTCACCTCCGAGCAGCTGAAAAGACAAAATCAAGCGTTTAATTTCCGACCATTTTACGGTATATTGAAAGAAATAAATTAATTTTCTGGTTTTTGTATAGTATACATAAAAAATACATTACCCACTTGAGTGACGTTGAAAGTGATGGATGTTTACTTCGCCGCTTCAGTTTGGTTAACAACTGTTAATTATTATACATTAGATTTGATATGAAATCAATCAATATCTAACAGCGTGTGAAGTTGACATAAAAACGCAATAGGAGCAGCGGCAAGATAATATACTCTTGGCAGCGGATATTACATTTACCATGTCGAGTTCAAAGTCTGCCTAGTTTCCAAGCCCCTCGTCCGTGTAGTGTTCTGAAACTTTTGCAAACTTTGCGAGTAGCGTTTTATTTTGTAGATTGTTTACAAAATGTATAATAAATCAATTAGTGTTGTTGCTTTTCTTGTCAGGAGATAGTGACGAAAATTGTAGAGAGGCATTCTTGTTTAGTATGGTCAACCCATTTGGCTCTGCACCAACTAAAATGTTGTTACGTCCTGACCCAGAGGTGAATTGGAGCGGCAGACCAGGAGGAAAAAGCTCCAATCTGCCGATTCTAGTTGGCATTTTACCTGAAGCGCAAAGTGGACCAGCATTTGGTTCGCGACAGGAAGATACTTTTCGGCGATACGACCTGCTCATCTCAGGCAACGCTAACGTAAGGGATTCAAGTTCTGAAAGCCTTGGCGCGTCATATCAGTGCCCTGAAGGATATAAGGGAACTTTCTTCACAGGGAAAAGATCTTTCATGGTATCAAATTATGAAGTGTTTGAGGTCTTTAATTGACATAAGGTAATTTTTCGAAGACAGAAACGATGTAGGCGCCCCTCCCCCCCCCCTCCATTACCTTATTTAGGACTTAAAAGCGTGACAATAGCAACATGTGATTTCAAAATGGGTGTAATAAGGGCACGATATTAACACTTGTGAATTGAAGGAAACACGCATTAGTTTCGAAATACACGACGACTAGTTCAAACTACTTTAAAACTAGTTATAGTTCTCACTAGAGCTGCCCCCGCCCTACAGTACCATTTTCTTTTTTTTTTTTTGAGTTGGGCTTGTTGTTTACAGTTGTGTAGTTATGACCATTTGCGGGAAAAACGTTGATACCTTGCGGCCGTGCAAGCGATCAAATCGAGATTTTTTCTGGTTATGATCTACCGAAAATACCCACATTCCCTCTTCTCCAGTCTTCCTCTATATTACGCGGGGAGTCCTAAGGTGCCTCCTCGGGTTTTTGGCCCTCTGGGGCCAAAAACCCTGCGGGGGCAAATAGAAAATCAAATTGCGTAAGTTAAGAATTCCTGGGATGCTTTCAAAATAAAAAATAATCTCGTTTTAATAGTCTTTTTTTATTAGTAGTGTTAGTATAATTGTAAATACTTTTGATAATGTAAGTTTTCTTTGTTTATTTTAATAATAATAATAATAAAAAAACAAAAGAAAGAGATCATTTGCTGTCTTTGTTCACATTGGTATGAGATATTAATATTAGTAGAATTAAATTTATAGTTGGAGCTATTCTTCGTATCCTATGATGTGAATGGATCCTGAAACCAGAAGCGGTAAAACTGTAAAAAATAGACTGTGTTTCGGCTGGCCTGACCAAAATAGACTTCTGAAGGTAAACTGGACTGACTAGAATGAGAATTTAGATGTTTATGGGGCAATATTTGCATGATACTGGTGAAACATAGAGCTGTAACGTGTTACATAGGGAAAAATTAAAGGTAAGTGTAACACTAAAATAATATAAGATAAATACAAGGAAATAAACTGAAACGTGTCTTCGTGGACTTGTAGACACTCAGGATGAATTCTTCGTTCGAGGTTGCTAATTTTAGCATTACGGGTGAGCAAGAGATTAAAACGGTTTATAATCTCTTCGTGAGAGCCAAAAGGAGCGCTGAATTTCATACCGATTAGTTCCCAATCCACCCAAAGCGATGTATAGCGCTTAGGGACAGTTGACTGTTGGGATATTCCGTGATGACCTAATTACGTAAAGCTGAATTTTAATTAGTTTGCCTGAATCTTTATTACGAACAGATGGTTGATGTGCCCTGTAAGCCATCAAAACAGGAAATTTAAACGTATTCAGTAATTACTAAGGCTCGATGAGGAAAGTTAACCGCTGGAACCTTAAAATGTCAATTTGACGTCACGTGTTTATTCCAAACTTTCATTTTCAACTGATATATTCACAAAGCTCCGCAATCATCGTTTCGGCGTCGCTACTCGCGGGAAAGACTGTGGTCGCTTTTTTATTTCAAGCCTTGATAAAGTGAAAATTTACCACTGACTTTTAGCGATAATGCAGAACGGACACGACCAGGGAATTTCCTCGACCGTAAAACTGAATGTCGGCGGTCATTTCTTTACTACAAGTCGACAAACACTAACCAAAGATCCAAACTCAATGCTAGCCATTATGTTTTCGGGAAAATTTGACATGAAACCTAGTGAAGACGGTACTATGTTCATTGACCGAGATGGAACTCACTTTCGATTTATACTCAATTACCTTCGCAGTGGAAAATTAACATTACCTGAAGGAAGCACAGCTCTGAAGGAACTGATGGAGGAGGCTGAGTTTTACCAGATCCAGGGAATTCTTGATGAATTAAAGTCCGTGACAGATAATTTAACGATCGTGAAACTGAATGTTGGCGGCCATCACTTCACAACAAGTCTCCAAACGCTGAAGAAAGATCCAAAGTCAAGATTGTGCGCCATGTTTTCAGGTGAACATGTAAACAACAGCACCTTCATCATTGACAGAGATGGAACACACTTCCGTTACATACTCAATTATCTTCGTGATGGAGATGCGAGGTTACCGGAGGATGAATCTGCACTGAAAGAGCTCGAAGCCGAAGCACAGTTCTACCAGGTTGAAGGGATACTAATGAAATTGAGCGTTATGTCGGAGATAATAACGAATGAGGAACACACAGCCAAGCTGCTTAGTTTCCTACCCTTGCTTGACTCAAGGAGGAAGCGACATCACCTTCGTCTACTGTTCCGAGCTTCTCGCGATGGCTTCTTCGCCAAAACCTTTCACTCCATGTGTGACAACAAAGGACCTACTGTTACCATTGTGCGGAGTGGAGAAAATATATTCGGAGGTTTTACAGAACAGTCTTGGAATAGTAAGTGTGAACTGATATACTGCTATACAGCAGAGGAATGATACACTTGAATAGCTTACGAGTAGAAACAAAAGTTCTGTTAAAATTTCTATTATAATGTACCGAAATCTACGAAGTCTAACTTAATGTTTCACTTTTTTATCTTGTCATTTTTATCTTTTTTGAAAGTGAAGTGCCCTTGTGGGGAGGGATGGTTGGGCCAATTGAGGGTAATTGGGTATGTGTTACTGGCTACTCAGAACCCTTACCCCATAATGGTTTATTCTGTGGTCAGTTATTGAACCCATCTTAGTCACTTTTGAGCGAATGTAATATTTGTGATGCCAACTTAGTGACTTTCTGTTCATTCATCTGAACTCTACAAGTCTTTTAAGTAGGTCATTCTGAAATGAATTTACACATTTGTTAAGCTGAGTGTAGAACTTTTTTTAAATTAATGGAATGTAATGCAAGTCAATTGTTGAATATTAAAACAAAAACATGAAATACAGTAACTATTTCACTGGGAATCTTCCTTTTTTGAAACCCCTATTTAGCAGAATTTTCTTACCCCAAAAAACAGGAAAATGTATGACCCCATTCTAGTAACTCTATCAAAAACCAACCCCATAATGGTCAATACAGAGGTGAAAATCCCACCCCATTTAGCGGCATTTTACAAGGAAGTGACCTCCCCCCCTTTGCAGGAAGTGTATAGTAAGCAAGTTCCTTTTGTTATTGGCAATATGTATTAACCTTTATAAGAAAGGTTTGATTTTTTTTAATGGAACGTGTCTTCTCATTAACAGGTGATGGTGATTATGCAAGATGTTCAAAATCATTCTTGTTCACTCTGGTCAACCCACAAGGCCTGGAACCAACTAAAATGCCAATTACTACTGATGGCCAAAAGTACGGCATCTGCTGTTACAGTGAATATGGACCAACATTTGGTAGAGGTCTTTATGGCGGGTATGCTTTGAAAATTTCTGACCATGCAAATGTGCGCAGCAGTGACTTTGGTATCAGTGACTCCTATGATTTTCATCAAGATTTCCGTACTTTCTTTACAGGGAAAACACAGTTTCTTGTGAGTGATTATGAAGTCTTTTCGCTCGTGAACTAGCATGTAGCAATTGATGGCTTGGGTGTTTCTTTTAACCTTTTGACCCTTAAGGGTGATTAGCATTTAATTTCTCCTTACAATTCACCCCCTGAATCACACATTAAGGTCATGAGATTAAAGGAAATGATCACCAAGTAAAGAAGCTCTCGATTTTGATAGAAATTCTCCTTGTCAGCACCTTAGGAAATGTTTAGAGAACAGTATGGAGAATTTGTACACTGATATTAGGGTGTAAAGGTTTAATGAGTTACTTTTCCTTTATCTAGTGCTTTTGCAGGGGGTAAATAACAGAAAAAGGAAGAGTGGAGTTATAGGTCCAAAGAGGTGTAGAAAATTATAAGTAGATAAATATTATGCTAAGGTTTTTTTTTCCTTCATCATGATAATATTCAAGTATTTGACTTTTCAACTTATAGCATACTGATATTCTACTTCATGTAATAACACTTGCAAGCCTGTTATAGACTAGGGCTGGGTTGTTTGAAGCTGGGTTAAGATAACCCAGGGTTAGTGTGAAATCAGATTTCACATCTGAAAGTTTTAAAAAAAATTCAGCATGAATTTTTTTTGTCTGCTGTTTGATGATTGGATGCTCTAAAAAGAAGAGAGAAAATTATCCTAAAAAGGCTTTTGAACAAAGAAGTAAAGATGCTGGGATTAAAATGTAACCTTGGATTAACACTAATTGGCCTTCAAACAACTGGGCTCTGCAGTCCATTTGAGACACCTTATGTTGCCGCAAGGTCTTAGTTTTCTGAATCCATTAACCCTTTAACTTGCATGAGTGACCAAGAAAGAATTTCTCCTTACAGGATCAATACAATATCAAGCAGACTAGTGATGAGAAATAAGAAATAAAAGTAATAAAAATTTTAAGTAGATAAATATTATGCTAAGGTTTTTTTTTTCTTCATCATGACAATAATCAAGTATTTGACTTTTTAACTTATAGCATACGGGTATTCTACTTCATGCGATAACATTGGCAAACCTGTTATAGACAAGGACCATGTTGTTTGAAGCTGGGTTGAGATAAACCAGGGTTAGTTTGAAATTGGATTTCACATCTAAAAGCTGTATAAGAAAATTCAGTATGAATTTTTTTGTCTGCTGTTCGATGATTGAATGCTCTAAAAATGGTAGAGAAAATTATCCAATAGAGGCTTTTGAACAAAGGAGTGAAGACGCTGGGATTAAAATGTAACCTTGGATTAGCACTAATTGACCTTCAAACAACTGGGCTCTAAAGTCCATTTGAGACACCTTATGAATCCACTAACCCTTTAACTTGCATGAGTGACCAAAAAAGAATTTCTCCTTACAATATCAATACAATATCAAGCAGACAAGTGATGAGAAATAAGAAAAATATTACAAGGGGATTATTAGTTGATCCAATACCAAATTTTCTAAGCTAACATAAAGAAGGAAAGGAGATGGCTGAGATCATCCCTTATCCTTGATTAGAGTTTGAAGAGGAATAAAAAAAGGCTCATTAATCTATGTACTTTGTTTGGCAGTGGCCATTTTGAATTTTAGTTTCATGTTCTGGTGTTGAGAATTTGGAAAAAAAAAACTTTCAAAATCCATTCAAAGCATGATGATGTCACCATTTTTCAAATTTATTACAGTCCACTTACTGTCATGGATCCTTTAAGTTGTGGGTTCCACTCTTCATACAAATTAACATGTTAACCCTTTGACTCCCAGAAGTTATTAAGATGTAACTTTTCCTGATGATATCCATACATTATCCAGCAAACAGGTAATGAGAATACACAAATATATCACGTAGAAGGTGTTTGCTTGATTTAACATCAACTTCTGGTATCAAATTTACAAATAAATTATGCGTAGCAGCTAGAGGGGAGAATAAACAATCAGATCTTGGGAGTTAAAGTTAAAGAGGACATCTATTGCTTTTCTTGCCCCTTGTGCCTAGACTGTGAGTTTCAGTAAGTGGTCTTTTGTGATTCTCACAAAATCATAGGTTAAGCTTTTCTGAGAGCACTAGTAACTTCAGGACACAGTTGTTGACTCTCCCTTGTTAAATTCCTGTGACAAGTCTTATATTTTGTGTGGTCTTTATTAAGTGGTAACAGGAACACATTATTTTTTCCCCTTTCTTACTGGAAACATCACCCAATATTATGTGATGACCTCCCTAATTACAAAAACGGAAAATTGGCACAGAGAGAGTCTTGCATCACACTTGTGAATCAAGCCTGCAGCTCACTTAGTACAAGTAATTTAACATCAGCAGACTTAGTTGTATAAACTAGGGTTACTGGTTGGTTTTCCTTTCATGAGTAAAAGTACTGTCATGCCAGGCACTTAAGAGATCACTTATGGATTAAAGTTCAGTTGCTCAATTGCTTAGCTTGCTTGTGCACAATATACCTTGTGTGCACTCTCAGAACTATTTATCTATCCCTCCATTCCCTCCCAGTATTTCATGGCGTCGGTCTTTTGGGTTTGTGTGGGTTTTGTAACAGACAGCCTTCTATATTGAACAGTGCATTTCAGCATTGTTTTATTTTTAGCTTATTTCTTAAATAGGATTATTTTTATTTGTGAAAATAATAAGTTGAGTAGTAACCTTGTAGTAATGAATATAAGTAAGTTAGTTGGTAAGTAACAACTGTGTTAAGAGAGGGTAACACATGATAGTATGACTGATAAACTGATGACCCTCTGTGCTAAACATCTACTGAGTAATGATAAAATATTGTGAAGATAGAAGATAATTGAGTACAAACAAGAAGTGAGGCTGCCTTTGTCCCAAACTTTGTTGTAGTATGTAGTTAAGACATAGTGAAAACTGTGCCTTTTTAAATGCATCAGTATTTACAACTGTAAATTTCTTTAATGTTAAACCTAAGTGTTTTTGGGAATAAATTTGGTGTAGTACTCACTCGTTTCAGGAAAGAGGTGTCGTTCTTTTGATTTTTAAGAAGCCATGTCTAAAAGTGCCTCAAGCAGGACAGAAAAATATTACTTGGAGCAAGACAAGGGAAGCTTTATGCAAATAAAGTGGTTTTGTCATCCTCTAAGGCCTTCGATTCTTCAAACACAATCCTCTATTTCGGGCCTTATATTCACCGTGGAGATCGCTTCCATAATCATTTCTTTATTCGCAGTTCACTCGTATAACTTTCATATATTTACAGTCAGTTATTCATCACTTCATGGGTTTATTTGGGACGAACATAATGGCCAGCTCCTAGTTGGCTTGTCAGCTCAGTTGGTTGAGCGCTGCACCGGTATCGCTGAGGTCATTGGTTCAAATCCCGTACAGGCCTTATTTTCACCACTGCTTACGTGGTGGTCATAACTGCGAAAATCGCTTCCATTTACAATCCTTTATGTCGAGCACGGGACAATAATTGGGCAAATTAGAGCAATTGATAAATGTCTTGTCTGGTTTTGTCTTTTGGGCTAAGTTTTTAGCGAAGAATTAATCAGCTTAAACGTGGTCTGAAATTGCAAGCATAACTTCGCGTGCCAAACATATTTATTCGACAGGAACCGCTTACACTTCTTAGTCATTACGGGGGGGGGGGG